ACCCCCGGGGCGGTGCCAATTTTGACCCCAGAGCTTTTATTTGAACAAACTTGGTAGACACCTATTAGAACATGTTTGATGCTCAATATCTTAGCCATAGCTCTTTGAGTTCTTTAAAAGAACATTTTTTAAGTTTTTACTATATGCATATAGGGAAAATCAATGACCCCCCCCCCCCGAGGCGGGGCCAATTTTGACCCCAGGGCTTTCATTTGAACAAACTTGGTAGACACCTATTAGAACATGTTTCATGCTAAATATCTTAGCTCTAACTCTTTTGGTTCTTTAAAAGAAGATTTTTTAAGTTTTTACTATATGCATATAGGGAAAATCAATGACCCTCTGGGGCCGGGCCAATTTTGACCCCAGGGCTTTTGTTTCAACAAACTTGGTAGACACCTATTAGAACATGTTTGATGCTCAATATCTTAGCCATAGCTCTTTGAGTTCTTTAAAAGAAGATTTTTTAAGTTTTTACTATATGCATATAGGGAAAATCAATGACCCCCCGGGGCCGGGCCAATTTTGACCCCAGGGCTTTTATTTGAACAAAACTTGGTAGACACCCATTAGAACATATTTCATGCTAAATATCTTAGCTCTAGCTCTTTGGGTTCTTTAAAAGAAGATTTTTAAGTTTTTACTATATGCATATAGAGAAAATCAATGACCCCCCCGGGGCGGTGCCAATTTTGACCCCAGGGCTTTTATTTGAACAAACTTGGTAGACACCCATTAGAACATATTTCATGCTAAATATCTTAGCTCTAGCTCTTTGGGTTCTTTAAAAGAAGATTTTTTAAGTTTTTACTATATGCATATAGGGAAAATCAATGACCCCCCGGGCAGGACCAATTTTGACCCCAGGGCTTTCTTTTTGAACAAACTTGGTAGACACTCACTAGAAGATGTTTCATGCCAAATATCTAAGCTCTAGCTCTTATGGTTTTTCAAAAGAAGATATTTAAAGTTTTTTCCTTCGGTTGCCATGGCAACCAGAGTTCTGCATGGAATTAAATTCTTTGAACAATTTTTAAAGGTGACCACCAAAGGAACATTCCTGTGAAGTTTGGATGAAATTGGCTTAGTGGTTTATGAGGAGATGTCATTTAAAGTAAAAGTTTACGGACGGACGACGGACGGACGCCGGACGAAAAGCGATCACAAAAGCTCACCCTGTCACTTTGTGACAGGTGAGCTAAAAACAACAACAAAACAATTATCTAAAACAATTATCAGACATTTTACAATTCTATTACACAAGGTTGCTTTAAAGAGGTGTTTTTTCTTTATCTGCTCCCCTTTCAAAGAAAACAACCTCACTGCAATGAAATATTTTCTTTGTTCACAGTTAGCATCGAAAAAATACACAACCCAAACTCTAGTGAAATGTTTTCTTTGTTCACTCATACTTAAACCTGTCTTCTTTGTTCATTCAAAACTGACCTGTAGTATCTATTTATTTCTTTGCATCAGTAAATTAATCAAAACATGATCAAATATATTATCATAGTTGTGGATAATCAAAAGATTCATGTAAATATATTCATGTAAATATATTCATGAACATTTAAAAAGTGGTCAAAACACTGAAATTTTTTTTAGTGAAAATAACATCATTTTGATTTAAGGCTATCCTTTTTACACTTCCCATCTTCAAAAGTTACTATTAGTTTTGTTAATTAAAGGAACTCCACTTAAGTCCAAAAGCCTAAAATTTGGAAATCTAACATAGACAAAATGGGACACTTAATATGGAAAAATATACAAAGATAATTAAGATATACATTTGTATAATACTTCAGAATTGATATTTAGCGCAATTTTGAATCTGTTCGGAGACAAAAGCTTGCAACGCTTTTCATGGTCATTCAAGGTTATCATTCCCCCCAACAAAAACAATTATTCCGGAAAAATGGAGTGGGGAAATGATCTGAAGCTTTGCATACAAATTATTGGCATTGACCTACATCAATGGTACAAAAATCTCAAAAAGATATTCGCAGTCCACATCATGTCAAAAAAAAAATTAGTGGAGTCCCCTTAAATAATAAAGTTACTTGAATTCAACAAGGATTGAAAAATATTTTCAAACTTAAGCTTCATTTGAATTAATATAACATTAATTTTGTCTTTCTAAAAATTCTATTAAATTCTACTGTAGGCATGGAATTTTCAAGCCCTGTAAATTCAAGGCATTGTTGAAATAAAAAACAGTACTCAGTAATAGTGTTTTATTATGTTTACAAAAAATAAACAAGAGGGCCATGATGGCCCAAAGTCGCTCACCTGTATATAGGCCCCTGGAGCGGGGCCAGTTTTAACCCAAGGGCTTTTATTTGAACAAACTTGGTTGTATATGTATGCATGTATATATATATATATATATATATATATATATATATATATAATATATATATATATATATATATATATATATATATATATATATATATATACATATACATATATATATATATATATATATATATATATATATATATATATATATATATATATATATATATATATATATATACATACATACATACATATATATATATATACATATACATAATACGTATATATATATGTATATACATCTCTATATATATATATATATATATATATATATAATGTATATATCTAAAAAAAAAAAAGTCAAGCTAATGAATGACCCCCGGGGCGGGGCCAATTTTGACCCCAGGGCTTTTTATTTGAACAAACTTGGTAGACACCATGAGAACATGTTTCATGCTATAATATCTTAGCTCTAGCTCTTTGAGTTCTTTAAAAGAAGATTTTTTTAAGTTTTTACTAATATGCACATAGGGAAAATCAAATGACCCCCGGGGCGGGGCCAATTTTGACCCTAGGGCTTTTAATTGAACAAAACTTTGTAGACACTCATTAGAAGATGTTTCATGCTAAATATCTTAGCTCTAGCTCTTTGGGTTCTTTTAAAAAGAAGATTTTTTAAGTTTTAAACTATATGCATATAGGGAAAATCAAAGACACCCTGGGGCGGGGGCCAATTTTGAACCCTAGGGCTTTTATTTGAAAAACTTGGAAGACACTCACTAGAAGATGTTTCATGCTTTATATCTAAACACTAGCTATCTGGGTTTTTTCAAAGAAGATTTTTAAGTTTTTGCTATACACAGTCATATAAGGAAAATCAATGACCCCCGGGCGGGGCCAATTTTGACCCTAGGGCTTTGATTTGAACAAACTTTGTAGACACACACTAGAAGATGTTTCATGCTTAATAGCTAAACTCCAGCTATTTGGGTTTTTTTTAAGAAGATTTTTTAAGTTTTTGCTATACACATATAAGGAAAATCAATGACCCCCCGGGGCGGAGCCAATTTTGACTCCAGGGCTTTTATTTGAACAAACTTGGTAGACACCTATTAGAACATGTTTCATGCTAAATATCTTAGCTCTAGCTCTTTGAGTTCTTTAAAAGAAGATTTTTTAAGTTTTTACTATATGCATATAGGGAAAATCAATGACCCCCTGGGGCGGGGCCAATTTTGACCCTAGGGCTTTTAATTGAACAAACTTTGTAGACACTCATTAGAAAATGTTTCATGCTAAATATCTTAGCTCTAGCTCTTTGGGTTCTTTAAAAGAAGATTTTTTAAGTTTTAACTATATGCATATAGGGAAAATCAAAGACACCCTGGGGCGGGGCCAATTTTGACCCTAGGGCTTTTAATTGAACAAACTTTGTAGACACTCATTAGAAGATGTTTCATGCTAAATATCTTAGCTCTAGCTCTTTGGGTTCTTTAAAAGAAGATTTTTTAAGTTTTAACTATATGCATATAGGGAAAATCCAAAGACACACCCTGGGGCGGGGCCAATTTTGACCCTAGGGCTTTTATTTGAACAAACTTGGTAGACACTCACTAGAAGATGTTTCATGCTTTATATCTAAACACTAGCTATCTGGGTTTTTTCAAAGAAGATTTTTAAGTTTTTTGCTATACACAGTCATATAAGGAAAATCAATGACCCCCGGGGCGGGGCCAATTTTGACCCTAGGGCTTTGATTTGAACAAACTTTGTAGACACACACTAGAAGATGTTTTCATGCTTAAATAGCTAAACTCCAGCTATTTGGGTTTTTTTTTAAGAAGATTTTTTTAAGTTTTTGCTATACACATATAAGGAAAATCAATGACCCCCCCGGGGCGGAGCCAATTTTGACTCCAGGGCTTTTATTTGAACAAACTTGGTAGACACCTATTAGAACATGTTTCATGCTAAATATCTTAGCTCTAGCTCTTTGAGTTCTTTAAAAGAAGATTTTTAAAGTTTTTACTATATGCATATAGGGAAAATCAATGACCCCTGGGGCGGGGCCAATTTTGACCCTAGGGCTTTGATTTGAACAAACTTGGTAGGCACTCATTAGAAGATGTTTCATGCCAAATATCTAAGCTCTAGCTCTTATGGTTTTTAGAAAGAAGATTTTTTTAAGTTTTTCTTATTGGTTGCCATGGCAACCAGAGTTTTTAATGGAATTTAAATTTTGAACAACTTTGAAAGGGGTCCACCTAAGGATCATTTCTGTAAAGTTTGGTTGCAATTGGCCATGTAGTTTAGGAGGAGATGTTGTTTGAAAAGTTTGACGCCATTTTTTGAAGGACGCACGACGCACGACGGACGCAGAGTGATGACAAAAGCTCACCTTTGAGCACTTCGTGCTCAGGTGAGCTAAAAAAAGAAGTCGGTGAATCAACAAAGTTATAACTTAAGTAAATTAACAAACATATAAAGCTCTGGACATGAGTGAATTGTTTAATTTTAGAAAGCACTACATATCACAATCAATGAATTTTTGAATAAATAAAGCATTTGATAACACATTTTTCAACAATCTGGATGTTATGAAATGAATGAACTGTTGAATAAAAGGCCCATTAAGTCTGAAAATGGTTTAACAAAGAGTTTCACTTTTGATTACCTGTGACAGTTTCTGAATGACACTCTTTTTCTTTTTTTTTTTTTTTTTTTTTTGGTAATTTGTACAGTTATAGTGATTTGGTAAACAAGTTTCTTTACATTTTTGCTACCTTAATCAGAACAATAATTTTGATGTCATTACTTAAGATGATTTTTATAAGCTATTGAAATGTTCTAAATCTATACCTACAACATAATGATTGAACAACATATTTGCACTTTCTACATAAAGAAAAAAAATCATTTTTTAAGGCTTAATGTGCCTTTAATGTAGAATATCTTTTCGATATCAGTGAATAGTTTTATATAAAATAGTTAATAACAGTGAAATAATTTGATATCATTCAAATTCAAATACTAAACAAATTATTTTTGTATAATGTGCTTGAAATGAATTTGCGAATAAGTAGAGATTTAGGTATAATTAACTTACATAAGTGAATTTTTTAGAAAGACCTGGGTATCAGTTAGTTGTTGAATTATAATACAGATCTGGGTATACATGAATATTGGACTTACAATGTAGGAAGATCTGGACATCAGTGAATTAATGAATTAATACAGATATGGTTATCAGTTAATTATTGAATTAATACAAATCAGGATATCAATTAATTGTTGAATTAATACAAATCTGTTTATTCATTAATTGTTGAATTAATACAAATCTGTTTATCAATTAATTGTTGAATTAATACAGATATTGATATGAATTAATTGTTGAATTAATACAAATCTGTTTATCAAGTAATTGTTGAATTAATACAGATATTTATTGATATCAATTAATTGTTGAATTAATACAGATATTTATTGATATCAGTTGTGAAATTAATAACGATCTGAGTATAAAATTGTTCAATTTATACAGATCTGGTCATCAATTAATTGTTGAATTAATACATATCTGGTTATCAGTTGTGAAATTAATAAAGATTTGGGTATACATGAATTGTGGAATTTATACAGATCTAGTAATCATTTAATTGTTCAATTAATACAGATAAGGAGATCAGATGTAAAATTAAGATCTGTATATCTGCTGTGGAATTAATAACAATCCAAGTATAACTGAAACTTTGAGCAAATAAAATAACAATAATCAGTCATAAAACTCTTCATCTGAGCAAGAACCAGCAACTTCTTCATACCCCTCTGGTTTATTTGTTAATCTTGATAACAAATGATTAAAATTACTGGCTCCTTCCACTTCACCAGTATCGTCAATATCACCATTATTATAATCACTGTTATCACAACTATCATCATCATTGTCATCACTTTTATCATGGACACCGTCATTAACATCATTGCCATCCTCCACTTTTACATCTTTGTAAGTTTTAACTTTGTCATCATCATTATCTACATCCTTTCTTTCACCTGTGACAAAACCACCTGCACCATTTGATTCTTCTTTGACAGTTTCTACAGATTTACTTGTTTCCTCAACAACATTATCAGTATGTTTGTCTTCGTCTAAACAACCAAGGAATATGTTCATTTTCTGCTTCTTCTTTACTTCTTTTGGTGTTAATATATATTGATCAGTATCATCATCAGAACCAAGATCAAAATTTTCAATATCTGAACTGTCATCATTCATTTGTTTTTCTCTAGATTTACCAACTTTCTTCTTCTTTTCTACAGGTGTATCAATGTCGTTCTCTGAAGTTTCTTCCACATGCTTTCTTTTTGGAAATTTACGAAAAGTAGTTACAGAATCTAGTAAAAGTTCTTCATCTACCTCAGTGATTTGTTTATCAGTTTCTTCCAGTTCGTTCACAGCAGTAAGAACTGTTTGAACAAATAACGATGTCTGATACTTTATAATGTCCTTCAAATGAACTTCAACATGATCAATCTTTACACCAGATCCTTTCAACCATGGTAACTCTTTTGCCATTGCTTTCAGTGCTTCTTCTATTTCAGAGCGACAAGAATACTTGTTGGTAAGTTTAAATTTAAACATTTTACAAAACGCCTTAAATGTAAGCTTTCTATACTTGCTAATGTCCGATGCCTTGAATGCGTAGTAAGCACATGGTACAGCGTATGATGTACAGCATCGACCGCTCGTGACCATTAAACGCTGCATCATCTGTATAATTTGATTACCCATTTTCACTATATCTTTGTCTAAATCTGATTGAGATAAAATCCTAAAAGCCTCATTTTCAATATCTAGTGGTGGTAGATGTACATTATGGTTATGCTTTAAGGTTTTCAATGCTGCTCCAAATCTTTTCGCAGATTTTTCTATATTTAGAAAGAAGCTCAGCTCTCGGATATTGATAGAAATGTGAGCCATTCTTGCTGAAGAGTACAAACATGCTAGGCACATTGCCTTCTTTGTGTCCGATAAAGTATTATATAGTTCTGTATCAAAAACTTTCTCATACAAATGGCATGCCTCGTCTATTATATGTTCACCGACTTTAAGTTGATTACCAATGTTGGTTATTAAATTTTTACCAGCTAGTTTGTGCCTTTCAGAAGCAGTGGATCCAAGTTTCATCCAATTCTTGGTACCTTTGGCTCTAGGACCGTAGGCTTTACCGTCACTAAGAGATGTACCCTGAAAAGACAATAAATTCTTAATGCTTAAAAAGTTGAAACAAGAATGTTAATTCAGTTACAGAAAAAAGAAAAAATGACCTACTACTTATAACCAATCAATTTGAGAAATATAAAGACCTATTATGTAGTGACCCCATTATGAAAAAAGTTCACATGTATGTATACACTGAATTTCATATTCAGAGCGACAGATAAGGTGCGTATTTAATATGCAAATACGCAAAGCGTATTAAAACCCATTAAAAAAAATAAAATAGTCTTAAAGATCCATGTGTATTGTCATTTTCATCACCGCAAAAGTAGACTATATGTGTATATTAAAATGAAAATCAAATTAAAAAAAAAATTAAAGAATATATAGAATTCTATACCTATCAATGAAATTTCAGTGTCAGTTCTAGTCGAGCACTGCCATTTTCAATGTAACTCAATGATAATAGGCAGGGTATTCCGATAACGAGCAATTGCAACTTTTCAGATAAATAATAATTGTCAAGTATTCCGAGTGAAAACAGAAGTGGTGCATAAAATTATACCACATGACTCCTTGAACACAGAAAATTGATTTTTTCTTTTAACCAATTCCCCCTTTCATAGGCTTTGCCTTTAAATTTCATATTAGTTTAAATAAATTATTGATAAGTGAAGTGTCTCCAGTTTTATTCGGGGAAGTCAAAGTCCGGGTTTGCCAGCAGGTCGGGCTTTTGCTTGCCCTGCTATAAACTACACGTGTTTAAATTTTAAAAGATAATCAAATAAAAGAACAATTAAAAAATATATATAATTCTATACTGGTTTCCTAGCAGTTTCCGGCCATAAATTGCACTTTTTAACAAATAAAATAAAAATCATTTTATGGAGGGGTACAAAACTGTGACAGAACAAAGTTAGGTACCTGTCCAGTATTGCCATGTGTTTAATGTTGCACTTTCATTTTACTTTTTAATTTGAATACAGGCCTGAAACGTAACACCTTTTTCACCTTTATTCAAAAATTCATAGCAGTTCTCCAGACCTTTTTTATTCTGAATATAATTCAGTACCATAAAGCAATGTTAAGATGGTTTTATCAGACAAACAGAACTTCCCAACCTTTTTCGTGTTGTCTGCAAAAATATTTTCCAAAGTATTGATTTACCTAAAATGGGGTCTTAGTTATTGCTCATGGATATTCAAACTAGAATTCCCCAGGTGTTGCTTATTTTTGAAAGTCGCAAGTTCACATATGTTACTTTAAATAACAGGCAAAACTTCAAAACATATATATCATTGTACTATTTTGAATGCTGTTTAGCATAGAAAACAAATGTCTCTCTGATTGATGAAATAATGTGAATGCTTTACTGGTAAAAATAGACGGTACTGGACGAAAATGATAAACGGCCGGAAAACTGCTAGGGGACGGAAACTGCTAGGAAACCAGTACCTATCAATGAAATTTTTAGTGTCAGTTATAGTTATGCGCCGCCATTTAGGCCTACAATATAACTCAATATTAATAGGCCGTGTATTCCTATAACAGAACAAATCTCAACTTTTCGGATTAATAATAATCGTCGAGTGAAAACGGAAGCGGTGCATGTACCAAATGACACCTTTAAAATGGAAAAATAAAAGGAATTTTATAACGACTTCCCTGTTCATAGGCTTTCCCTAATTTAAATCATATCTTTTTAAAAACAGTTTCAGCTTTTTTAGGTACTGAAACCATGAGACTCATTTCTTCATAATTGAATACCCAATTGATCTTTAAATTGTACGGTCGCAGGTTTAAGAATACCCAATTAAATGGAGCAATTTATACTCAATTCATAAAGAAATGATGGAGTAAAACCCAACTCACTTTTAAAGCTTATCTGTTGCTCTGATATTAATGTATTATTTACAAATTATCATTAAATATACTTATCTACTTATAACAGATATTCAATTTCCCGAAGAATTATGTTCAATAACGAATCATAGCCCACCGTCATGACCGTGAATTTATGAACACTGATGAAAAGAAACTGATCGACTGGCGACAAAAAAAAATCATTATTAACTGATTAAAGAAGGTTCTGCAGTGTACACATTCAGATATTATTTACCTCAAATCGATCATCAGATGTCAGTTCATGCATATCATTGTCCATAGCACCACACTCTGTGCAAACTCGCACAGTCCGTCCATTCTCCGTATCCTCTGTAACGGAATTTTCACCACAAACAGGGCAGTTGTCCATTTTTCTGTCGGTCTACTTTCGTTTTCACGGTTGTTGTTGTTGTTGTTGTCGTTGCATTCGGAGAACCTCGCCAAAAGTATGACTAAAATATGAAACGGAGATTTCCGTCTGACTTTTAAACACAACGGATACTGTAGCGTATTTCGGCAAACTAAATGGCTAGTCTATATAATCGTGTGGATAGATATATTGACATAAAATATTATTTGATCGTTTCATATTTTTAACTTTTTATTGTATAAATTATTGTTTATTTAATAAGTTCATACTTAATCTCAGTAAAATGAATGATTTTCGTTTCAAATCAATAGGCCTACTTCATGCAATACTTACTGTAGTCATTTTAAAGTGTTTTATTTCTATGGTTTCTTTATCAACAGGGTGTGGGGTTGTGGGGATTGGGTGGGATTAGTATTCTGTTGATACACTGCACTTGCAATTCAGAAGACTTCTAAAAATAAAGTCAGTGGACTTCTAAATGCAGTGAACTTCTATATTGTACATGACATTTACTTACTAAATCTGTAATGTTTGCACGGTGAATCAACACGATATTTCTCAATTTCAGTTTTTCGTTAAAGATATATAGTTTTCTATACATGTAAGTTAGATATTTTTCTTGAGCATGATCAAGAAGCCCTCTAGCACTGATTTCAAAAAAAAAAAAAAAAGAAATATAATTTAAATAGATAAATCTAATAATAAAGTAGTTTTGATAAATTTGTGGACAGTCGCAAATATTGTTAACATCTAACGAATTGCTACCCCACAGTAATAGCTCAACATTAAGCGGATGAAAAAACCTGGTTTCTGCGAGAATCCACCATTTACATCAAAATATCAATAGGGGACATCCACTAGTAATGACCCATCAATATGTGACCTTTGAACTAGCGATCCCAAAATCAATAGGTGTCATCTACTTCATTCAATGATTTTTGAATACGATATTCAATATGTGATATATGAAGATTTTGTGATAAGAAGTTTTCATGATAATGAGCGGAAACCATTCTAACATTAAGGGCACTTGTGACCTTGACCTTTAACCTAGTTACCCCAAAATCAATAGGGGTCACCTACTAGTTAAGACCAATCAGTATGTGAAATATGAGGACTGTGTGATAAATAATTTTCAAGAAAATAAGCAGAAACCATTCTGGCATTTAACAATACATGGACTAACAGGTTAAAGAATACCTAATTTAAATGGAGCCAATACCCAATTCCGCATGAAATAATGGGGAGTAATACCCAATTCACTTTCAAAGCTTATCTGTTGCTCCATTAAGAGGATGAAAAAATCTGGTTTCTGCGAGAATCAACCATTTATATCAAAATATGAAAACATGATTCAAATATCATTTACATGTAGGCCTACCATTCTGCATTCTTAATCCTTCTTGCAAGTTATTGCAAAACTAAAATTTTATTTACGTACTTAAGTTACTATATCAAAAATTGCTTAATGAAACTATATAGATTTCAAAGGAAATCTCTTTTTTACATTGCTACAATTAGTTTTATTAACTTTAAGTTTTAATGTGATATCAAAGAGGACCCACATATGGAGCGATCAAACGTAAATCTTTTCAGTGAATTCACAAATTACACAAATGTATTTATAAACTATGCAGCTCAAGTCAAATTTATGACACACCCGATACGACTTAATGACCTACTAACTAATGTACTTCTGCATTGAATAATTGTGGCATTTTTAGCAATATGTATCTCGTTTGATCGAGCTCAGGACCAGCACAACGCTTTTGTTATAACATTATTTTATAAATCAGCTAAAGGCCTTTTAGTATGGTGGCTGATTTGGAACGCTTATGTGCTAGAGACAACAGGACAATGCGCCAAACGGCATGTTATCGGACTTTCGTCTTGTCGTTCTGTCGTTAACGATATACGCCAAACGGTCGCGAGGTCTCCTTTGTCGCTCGGCTCAAATCGAAGGATTCGCTTATAAGCCAAACGACAGGGCGACAACGCACCGTTTGGCGTGCTTCGCAAGAGACAGGACGACAGCGCGACAAGCGCCGTTTGGTGCTTTGTCGTGTTGTCGCTAGCGACAAGACGTAAAGGCGATAACGATATAGGTTGCGTTGTCGCTATCGACGACGCACGCGCAATGTACCAAATCAGCCACCATACTTTAGTACAGTTACTTTTTTATTATTCCCGTATGTATTGTAAAAAGGGGAGAAACTCTTGCATTTGTGTAAGCTTTGTAAATTGTTTTCATTTCCCTTTCACCATTCGGAATATCTCAGATTATCTAGTTAAGATTTGTGAACTGCCTTTGTATGTTGTTAAATGGTGAGGATAATTTGCGGTGTGTTTAACATTGAAATTATCAATATGTGTTTGAATCTGTGTTCCCATTTACTCTTAAATTAGATGTAATTTAAAAGAAATTATTATACATCAATTACATTATAAACCAAACCGCAAAGACGACACTTTTAAGACATGTATTAAAGTTAAAACATACATGTACATATATAAAGATTATGACACTGTTAAAATGTCTCTAGTTGAATACATTCCTGTAAAGATAAGAGATAGTGTTTCATACGGGGTAATTTTTTGGATTAACGCACAGGTATGAATATAAAGTTTAATAAAATATATCACGCATATGGTTTTATTGATATAACTTAATTGTGTTTAAATGCTGAATGGTTTTAGGCATACGTTATAACAGTATGGTATTTAACTTGTTCTAACTAATTTGTGTTTTGTTAAAGCAGCATGCCTCCAGATTTAAGCTAGTGAAAAAATCGAGAAAGAAACATGTCCAATTCAGGAAAATAATATGACCATTCTCTTGTAATGTTTTTAAACCGGAAGTGATTAGCCCTTTTCGACAGTATAGAGCCAGCCCAGCCATACAGTCTGAAAAGGCACCATGCCTTTGGTTGCTTTTTTTATTCTTATTTTCAGGTCCCTAAAATGGGCTGTTCAAAATTGAAAACATGGAAACATCCATTACACAAATTTAGCAGTTTAATGGTTAAAAAAATAGCGTTCCAGACCTTCGTTTATTTGCTGCGCATATATCTATACAAATTTAAGATAAGAGATTTGTCCTACATATTTGATAAGTGCTGTTCATGCAGTATTTTCTTTCCATGTCTTTATATGATGGATGCATTTAAGTACAAAATGGAAAAAACGCAGCTTATATATGAGCCGTGTCATGACAAAACCAACATAATGGGTTTGCGACCAGCATCCGCGCAGTCTGATCAGGATCCATGCTGTTCGCTTACAAACCATATAACAAGTACAGAAACTGATAGCGAACAGCATGGATCCTGATCAGACTGCGCGGATGCGCAGGCTGGTCTGGATCCATGCTGGTCGCAAACCTATTATGTTGGTTTTGTCATGACACGGCTCATATAAGATTTAACATTAAAAGAATCAGCATGAACGTGATGTAGATGTATATGATATTAATGAAATGTTTAAAATGCAAATGGTATATAAATGAAAATAGTTTCTTATCAATTAAGTTATACAGTAATGTCCTGTTTCACGAGGAAATGATTTTTTTTTCACCATCGTAACATTGCACGTGCAACATCGTGTCATTGTACCATCGTATTTTCAATATCGTAACATCATGTATTTTGTTCTGTATTTCTGGACGTCTTCACAGACAGAAAGCATGTTAAGTTCGCTATTAACGATAATTCGTTATAAGCGAGTTCGTTATAAGTGGAATCGACTGTATATGTGAATTATAATCCGTCATTTGAATTGCTATGTGATACAGAGGACAAAAATAACTGATTTTAGGTATTATTTCTAATCGTCATGTCTCATATTTTGTAAAAAAAACAAAACAAAAAAACATTATTTTAAACATAAAAATTCATGTTTGAGCACTTAAAAGAAGAGAGAAAAAAATGTTCCTGAGGCAAAATGTGCATTAAAGTTTCAGAATCTGAACAAATGAGTAATGGATTAGTTCTGTTTTTTTGGAACAATCAAAATATAATGCTGGTTCGACCCTTTTAGTATTATACGACTTTTTGGGTTTGATTGTGTTTGAAGCTATAAGTATTATTGAAACACTCTCGGAACCGTTCCTGGAACCAACCAGTACTAAGCAATGAGGGTAACGTTACTTGCACGCGGAAACAATGGTTTGCCGCTGCTATGCGGACAGCAATTATTAGATTACTAGTCCTCGCGTATCATTCACTTAATTTGATGTGAACCAGGCCGCAACTCACAGTAGCTCTTGACAAGGGTAATAATTGAAAATCGTACATGGTTAACATCTATCAAATGCTAGTAAAACAAATAATTATTTACACATCATTCTACATTGTGAACACACAATTTAACAGATCATAGGCAATGTGCAATTTCTAATCAACTGCTATTAACAATCAATAATAAAATCAGTGTAGGAGAAAAACGATTCTGATTATTTCAGATCTGCCGTGTTTTATGATGGAAGACGTGCACGAGATGATAACAGCAGAAACTACAATGAACGTGAATATTGTACAACTTAATGCAACAGAGTTATTAAAATACTTGCCAGTAACTATAATTCTCTTGATTATAATGTGTGTAGGAATTGCTGGAAATATATTAGTTATATACATTTATAAAAGTAAATTCAAGAGATCTAGTGCAAGAGTATATATTCTAAGTTTGGCGTTTGCAGATCTCACGGTGTGCATATTTGGCATACCATATCACGTGTTGGATTTAACACAGATTCTGACCTATCCGAATAAATACCTTTGTAAAGTATTTAGTTATTTTATTGGTGCGTGTACATTTAGTTCAATTTTCATCCTTCTGGTAGTTGGCTTGGATAGATACCTCAAAGTATGTCGACCATTAAAGAGACAGATTGTTGATTTTGGGGACAGAAAAGCGTGCATTATTGCAGTTCTTGTAGCTATTGCGATATCTGTTCCAAACGGAATAATCTACGGTCATAGTTCAGTTAACACTGGCGTGAATAATCACACAGGGATAGAATGTTTTATTGATGATGATTACCAAGGTTCAAGTCTTGTTTTCGGATACCTTGTCTTTAACATGTTTGTTTTTCTCATTTCTGTTGTAATTTTGATAATATTCTACACATTAATTTGCCGTACAATTTATAAAAACGACTCGAACGGGGAAATAACCTTACAAAACAGGCGAAAAGTATGTTTATGTTGCTATGGTGATGCATCTACCGGTGGCGAGGACATAGAAATGGAAGAGGCGGAACAAATAAACATTGAAAATAAAAATGTTTTTAGTGAAGAGGAGAAAGTAATACAACGTCCTTCAAATAAGAAATCCTTATCAACGAAGAAAAACTTTGCAAGAAGGGAAACCTTGATTAGACATGCCGGAAGAAATGAACGGAAAGACAAGGAAAATAATACAAGAAAGATAACTCTGATGATGATGACGATAACTATTGTGTTTATCATCTCTTACCTCCCTTTTATGATAATTTCTGTAATGGATAATTTAGACGAAACATTTTGGGACAGGTTGACGGAATCTAAAGCTATCATATTTGATTTATTGTTGCGTATATATCTAATAAACAATGCAGCCAACCCTATCATATACAGTTTCTGGGATTTCCGATTTAGGAAAGAAACTGCAATACTTATAAGTAAAGTATTTTGTTGCGGGAAACAATCTGTTAAAGACGAAAGTAGAAGTAAAAATAAGTATTCATCCTATAGTCGTTCTACGAAAATAACAGAATACAATTTATAAGCCAGGAATTGTTTTTATGTAAAGAAAATACTGAATGTGTAGTATGTATACATAATGAAAATGACTCCAATGACTTCAAATCCCAGTTGAGGCAACTATTTTTTTTTTTAAGTCAAATAAACATTGAATTGACTATCAGTGTTACAATGAGCCTTATAGCCAATTTACTACAGTTAAAACACTGAAAAGCATTGGTGGCACTATACAAAAACAAATTGGTTTATAATCTCACAACCATCACCTTTCTGACATTCTGAGACCCAAACAAATTCAGCGCCTTCTGTGCTTTGATTTGACATGGCGGGACTGGCAATATTAATAATGTTCCATTCGCCGAATGTCTAGACCAGTGACGTGGTGGTGACGTGGTGCAGAATTCTTATCATTTGCTTGCTCCGTTTTTTCGAGAATACTTAAAAAGACTCAAATCGGGCTAAGAATTGCAAGAATAAGATTTTCAACTCATTTCTGATTAAAGTTCTTCATTTCCTGTTGCGTATTTTTTTTGTTTAAGTGTCCCAGTTAATCTATGTTAGAAATTCAAGTGTGAGCGGTACTTATTTTAACCTAGAAAACTGAACTTGTCTCATTATACACTGTTATCAAAAGCAACCTTCTTTTAAATATAAAATAATTCTATTCTATGTACACAAATGTAGTAGATGTGTATATAGTTGCGCAGCCATTTAAACGTTGATTTTTTTCTCCGAATGAAGACTTTTCTTTTGTGATATGTTATTTTGCGAAAAAACGAGGCATTAAAACATTGTATCAATAAACTTTAAAGTAAAGGAAGGATTTGGTTATTATGTGAATTGGTCACAATCTTATTATAATGATTATCACCACATAAACACTGTGTATGCTATAAAACACAATTCGGAGTTTTACCATCAACTACAAATATTTTATTGAAAAGCGGAATTTGATAACATGAAAATGAATTCCGTATTTATAGAAAAAAAACTTATATTTTCTGTTTATTATATACTTAAGATTCGAAAGACTTTTCCTTTAATTTTGTGTATGGGCTGAATCTGTGTTACGTATCAGTAATGCAGGCTGGATATAGAAAGAATGTAGTCCGTGCAGATACCAGTAAAATACGAAATATGTTTATGTTTATGTGAAAATATTTTTTTATTGTAAAAATGCGGAAAATAAAAATATGCATTATATTTTATCAGTAGTTCTCAAGTATACCATAAATGTGTATCTATAAAATTGTTTAAATCTGCCAAATCCGCCGCTATATATGCGAAGGTTTGTGGGGGTGGGGCGGTGTGGGGGAGTAGCTAGGTATTTACACTAGCAAAGATTTTACACGTATAACCTTTCATTCTCGACTTTCACGATCAATAAAACTGTACATGTAATGTTTGCAATTGTTTTTATTATATTAGGAGACCACTTTATTAAATTCCC